ATAATAAGCTTAACTCTGGAAAAAAAATGTTTGAAGGCACCGGGAAGAGGGAGGTGCCCTTAAGAGCTGCTCTTTCGTATAAGGGAATAAACATAGAATTGTATTTCATACAAGCTTTCCCAAGAATTTTTGAGTTAAAAAATCTCATTTTTGAGATGAAAATCTAGTTTTCTCGCATCAAAATCGAAAGTTCACACCACTGCGTTAGTTACACTTTGGGAAAAAATTACCAAAAAAAATGAAAATATTTTTTTGGGAAATTTTTCCCCATTATGCACCGTGTGATTCTCCCAACCGCCCACACACATTCCAACCAAAGACAGATCCTTCCACACACACATACCCTCAACGCCCACCCCACATCCCAGTCATACAAACCTACCCCACAAACTTTAAACGTTTCTACACATGCATACACTTCCTATCAGTTGCAAGTGGATCGCTTTTAAGTACGGATATAAAAGGTTCACATTTTAATTCATGACTATGTTGGTATCAACATCATAATATTTAGGAATAATTAAGAATAAGTTCTTAGAAAAACTAAAAGTCGGTTTAGACTTTCTACTTCTACAGCAATCTAAAATTTACGCATTGAACGGTAAAGATATTCAAAAATACTCAGATATGCCATTAACAGATGAAATATTGTTGATGCCAGGCATACATTTACGAATTATTGAAAATAAACTTGATGAAGAATTCTATTATATACATATGGAAGAAATTCTTCGACTGTAAGCTAAACGACGTCCTACTCCGACTTTGCTGTGATAAAGACTGAAGCAAAATTTTATTTCATCTGATAGGTAGGACCTGTCTTGCTTTGGCCCGAAAAAAGGTCTTTCTACTTTTCAGGGCAAGATACGACCGTTTTTATTAAGGGGAATTTGGATTTGGATTTTTTGGGACAAATCAAACAATGAATCAAATGGTGGAAGTGCTAAATTACTGGATCCCTGCAGGAAAAAAGTATGTGGGACCTGGGAGAAAAAAATCGTCTTTTTCGAGGCCGGGGTCGATGAGAGGAAAAAATTAGGAATCCTCGAAGACTGATTTTTTACCTCATATGAAGTAAAGAAAAAGGTTAACTCGTTATTATAACAGCTGAATCACGACATGATGGTGTCTCTATTATAACAACGATTGTCGGTCTTCTTGTACTGCAGATGATTTGTTATAAACTTTGTTAGAAAGACATGGACGAAACAACAACAGATTGTTCCCATTAGCACTGTGAATGATGCTGCTGTCTCAAAGATCGAAACGTTTCATTAAACAATCTAACTGACGGACGAAAAAATAGCGTTGAATGTTGCGTATTTAATGCATATGTAATAAAACGGCTGCTTTTTTAGATGTAGGTGGTGCAATAACCAAGTCGAAAGTAAACCTTATTGCTCCCGACATTTCTATCTCACGCTTGGTTCATGTGCTTCTATTTTGTATTTCAACTACGAAAAAAGCTGTTTATAAGTGCATTCCAGCTCTGAACCATTGTGACAAGTTTCACATATTCACCACATTTTTCTTTTATTTTTCTTTTCATGTGCACAAAGTGTTCCTCTTTAACTAGATCTATTACATTATCTTATCGTCGTCTGTCGAAATAGATACATTGTTCTTTTGTTTCGTTCTGATGCAAGTTATATAAACGCCGTATTGCCTCAGCTTCTTCCCGTTGTGACCAGGAGTCACGTCATCCGCATAAGTATCCTTAAATTTAACTTGTTTTCCGTCTTTCCTTCTTCTTTGTTTTAAAACAAACTTCTAAAGACTTGAGCGTGTTGAAAAGGAATTAAGTAGTTTTCGAAATGAGCTTTTCAGAAAATGAGGTTTACGCGCCTGGATGTTAAAGCATTCAGATCCTTTAGTGCCCGATACTAACGCTTTCAAGCGCCAGAAACTGCACTATCCGGAATTTTTAAATCTCATTGAAAGCCCAATGTTGAAATTTCTTCGTTAGTAATGTCTCTTTAATTTCACGTTTTTTTCCATTTATTTCAAATGATAATATTGATGGTTCATTAAAATTCAATGAATGATTTAGAGTTCTCATATGCTCTATCGCCTTTGAACTCACATCAATTTTTTTCCAGTTCTCCTTATGTTGCTCTATTCTAACATCTACATTCTTTCCTCTTTGTCCAATGTATAGTTTATGACAACCATTACATTCAATAAAGTATACCACACCAACTTTCTGTTTATTAATTCCTTTCAGTTGTTTGTAAAATGGTGTCCGATTGTTTGATTTTTTTAAAAGTAATCCAAGATTCAGTTTTGATATTTTTCATTAATTTCTTAAATTCTTTTCCAAATGAATATGATTCCTTACCTAGATAACTGAGAACAATGTTAATTGGCATTTCTTTATCATTTGTGTCATTATTCCTTTGTTGATTTTTATTCATATTACTTTGTTGATCGTTTTGCTTTTCTTTATGTATCGTATGTTTGGTTGTTCGTTCAATTAATTTTATTGGATACCCATTAGCATTTAATACATCTCTTAAGAATTTTAATTCATCATTTAATAAAACATTATTTGAACAAATACGTAATGCTCTCACCACTAACGAATTTATTAAACCTATTTTTTGATACCGTGCAAACATGCATTCCATTTTAAGTATAAATTTGTGTTTGTGTGCTTTCTAAATATTGTTGTATCATATTTTTTATCACTTTTTCTTATTAACACGTCAAGAAATGATAATGTTTTATTAGATTCTAATTCAATCGTGAATTTTATGTTTTTATGTATTTTGTTTATTGCATCTAATATTTCTAAAGCGTCTTGTTTATTTCCTTTCGTTATCACAAACATAGCATCTACATATCTAACTCATGTTATAATTTTTGATGATGTCAATGGTTCTATATGTTTTTTTTCTAAATTATTCATAAAAATATCTGCCAAAATGGGAGCAAGAGGGCTGCCCATTGCAACACTTTCTTTTTGTCTGTAATAATCATTATAAAATCTGAATTGCAAATTATGTACTGCTAGATTAAACAATATATATGTTTCTGATTTTGTTAACTTCATAAATTTCATTGTTTTTTTTTCCACAACAACTTTACAGCAATATCAATGGCTTCCGTCACAAGTACGTTAGTATATAATGATTCCACGTCGAATGATAACATTAATTCCTTACCAACTATTTTATTCTTTAATATTTTAACGAATTCAAAACTAGCTTTTACATATATTGATGATTGATCATTGCATTGTTTTATCATTGAAGCTAGATGTGCTGCTATTTTATAATTTGGTGCCATTATCCATTGATATTATAAGTCATTTTGTTTGTGAACTTTTACTGTACAATACATCGTTGGTATTGCACTTCCTGATACAAATAATTTATCATATTCTTTTGCTGTGATCTTTTTATCTCTTTTTAATTGTGTTAACCGACGATTAATTTTTTGTTCTTCTACCATAGTTTCATCATTATTCCCTACCATAAACTTCTTACTATCCTTTAACGTTTTATTTACTTTCTCAACATAATCTATTCATGATTACGACTTCGTTACCTTTATCTGCTTTTAATATCACTATTGTTTTATCTAATTTTTCAGTTTGACAGTTTCTTTTCATGAAAGTTGCTAGTACGTTCTGATCTTTGTAAGTCCACTAGATAAGCCTTAAATCTGTATTTATGATGAAACTCATCATCTGACAATGTATTTAATTCTTGTTTCATGTTCTTCACAACTTTTAACTTCTGTATGTACTCCGTTGTTAATAATTGTCGTTGAAATGCTTTTACTTTTGACGAATTTTGTAATCTTTTATTTGATAATTTAAACGGAACAAATTTTTGTGTAAGAGAGTGAATGAGACAATACCGGACAAATTCAATGTCACATTGGGTTTTGATTACTTTTATAGTTTTCCGTTCTATATAACGAAATCTTATTAAGGCACATTCGCCATATCTAACACGAATGCGTTGAAATATGTCAGTTTTTAATAATATAGTGTTTTTTATAAACTTCAGTATATAGATGACTACATATAAGAAATTTTCATCTTTTGTGAATGAGGCCTTATAGTTGATGTAAATAATAACGAAATTTAAATTTAAAAAAAATTGCCTGCTGATGCTCTCGGAGAGAGCGAAAGCCATGGGGGAAACAGCAAACTTCTGGACTGAAGTCTAGAAGTTCGTAGAAGTGTTGCTATTGTATGAAAATCTATTACTATCTATCAACAATTAATACAACATCTCTAAGAACATTGTCCATAGTTCCTTTATTATGACTCGTTTATTTCCAATCTTGGAAAAGCTTTTAAATTTATCTTTCTCAATATATATTTTTGATCATAATTAATAAACAAACAATAAAATATAGCATAGTTTCACGCATATACTCTTATGGGGTTCTCGGTACTCGTATCGACCTGTTGGTGCTCCTTGGGACTACAAGTGATTCCATGGAACTCCATGGGACTCGAGGCCTCCAGGAGTCTGCTGTGTCCCCCTTGGAGTTTCAGCTCATCGGAATAGTGCGTTACAGTAAAACAAACAAAATCATGAACATTATTATATTAGTGATAACTCTGGAAGGAATGGACACGAATCAATCTGGACTTTTTCTTACTATTATAGACCGTATCAATGAAAAAACACCAGCAAGATTGACTTTAATTACTTGAGAATGTTCCCTCACGATTGTTGTCCATCTACATCTTACACCTTTGTTAAAGAAATCGAAAAAGATTTTCGCAGTAACATCCTCTTTTGTTATTATTTATATAC